GGGGGGACAAGGGCTTTCTGCACTGCTCAGTGGACACTGATCCACGGGGCCATGGAGGTTGGCAGGCAGTTAGCTCAACAGAGACGAATTTGGGGAGCCGGGCTGTGTTCCAGATCTGGGGGAGCAAGTCTATGTAATTTAGAGTCTGAGGATGAACTGTCTTTAGAAATAAAGGGTGTGTGACGACAGCGGGGTGGGGTCTGAAGCCAATGAGGTTGCCTTTGGTCCCTGCCCTGAGCAAGCCGGAGGCTGGCAGGGTCTTCGTGCTGGTCCTGGCTGTGGGGAGGGGCTGACGACCCTACATCCTCTGGGGCAGTGCTGTGGGCATCTGGCTGGCTGCTGGGCGAGTAGGTGAGGGTTTGCTTCGGCCCGAGGACGCAGCTTGCACCCCTCCCCTCCTGGCTGGAACAGGGGCTCACAGCAGGGGTACCCAAACCCACTTCCAGAACTGGAAGGCTCTTTCCAATCCCAGGAAACATGCAACCTACTATGCGCGCTGGGGGCGGGGAGTCATAGCTTTTACTCGTTGGGCCTTTTGATTTGTCCAATGAGGATAATGAGGTTGGGGCTCAGACAAACCTGGGCTCGAGTCCCAGTGCCACCGCCTCTGTCAGCATCACGCCTGTTTGTCCCTCTTCTGAGAGGGCCTGTCGCTCTCCTGCGCTCATGGTCACAGTCAGGTTCTCCGGGAAGTGGGCTCTGACATTGTAGAATCACCTGTGCCTTCCCAAGGGGAGGGCCTGGTTTGATTTGATTCTTAAAGGGATCTGGGACTCCAAAAGCTAAACCAGCGGTCGCCAACCGGTGGCCCGTGGACCACTGCTGGTCCATGAGATCCGAGAGGCTGCCGGCTGCTGAGCTAAACCATGGCTGGTGCTGTTGGGCCCCCTTCCCTGTCCCCAAATCACTTAACACACAGCTCTTCCAGAAACCCACCCCCTCCAGTCCCCTGGTCTCACCTGGGAGCTGGGAAGACGCAGCCACCCGCCCCAGACCCAGGAACAGGACCTGTGCGCTCCGGCCTCTCCTGGTGGCACCTGGGCGCATCAGAGTTGCCCGCCCTAGTCCTCGTGGGTCATCCCCATTCTCAAGCCCAGCTGCAATGAGCTGCATCTTCCCAGTCCTCATCTAGGCGCCTCCGAGAGCTCGGGCCTGCTTTTCTGGGCTAAGCGCAGATGGATCTGAGTCCACCTCAGGCTGTCTCAGGGGCCAGTTTCCTCATACAGTAGGCGAGGTGCTAATGGCCCCCTTCCGGGCTGCTGGGATGGGAAGGAGGTGAGGTGGCCTCATCACCGCAGGGTCTTAGGGTGCTTCCAGCGCACCTCACCCCCTGACCACCCTCACCCCCTGGCCACCTCACCCCCTGCACCACCCTCACCCCCCTGACCACCCTCACCCCCTGGCCACCTCACCCCCTGGCCACCTCA